CCGCGGTTGCATGCAAAATAGGGTTGCGATTCACGCGCGGAATGCGAAACGACGATTACACGTGCGCGCGTGCTAATTCGCGGCCGATCGTTCTGTCACGAACAGTCCGCGTTGTGTGTACAGCCACTATTCCGTTAACAACATTTCCGCACTACAATGCAACTCCGTCAATTCAGAATGCAATTATCGTCGCCGTGCATTCTTCGCGCCGCACGGAAACTTTATTGCGGGTAAGTGCGTAAACGCTCGCGAGGCCGTGTTTTTAATTGAATAAACGTGTGCGACATGACGTTTAAACATAATAGTCGGAAACACGCGCGGAGATGGCTTCGGTCTAATAAAGATGGCAACACGCACTATTTATCATGTCACCCGCACGCTTTATCGTGTAGCGCCCTCGCTTTTGTCACACGCGGCTGTCGCGTACGACTGATGATCGCGTCGCTACCTCATTATCGTTTTGTTACGAGCCATTAGTTTGAAATTATTTCATTATTCGCGTTATCGTAGTCGACTTTTATCTCTATTATCTCAAAAAACTTTGCGTAGAAGTAATATTATAAGCGCAATTACCATTATAAAATTTACAATTTGATAAATTTGCGTAATATAATCTTGTGAAATAACGTGTATAATTTGACACGTTAAAAGTGAAATAATATGTTCGAAATTCAAGCTAACATGCGCAAACCACTTACCTACTGCGTAATTTCTAGACTGCGCAGTAAAATTGATCTTTCAATTAATTAATAGATTATATTTAGTAATCGCTTTGATGTTATGTTCCTCCGCTCTCCATCTGTTTTGATGGCAAACAATATTTCTGACGATACGTTGAACGTAACTTTGAAAATTTAGATCAGATAAACTTGCGATAAGCGCGGGAAACTTTGGGATATTGCTTGCCATTCCAACAACCTGACGTGACTTGATGCGACGCGTCGTCACGTGAGCAAAAAGAAAAGAGCGTATTTGACGCGCTGCGAGAAGGGTTCTGTTAAGTACACAGGGCGCCCTACACTGCCCTAAGGGTGGACGCAATATATTTCGGGGAAGTTATGACGAGTTAGGAATCTCGACAGACTGTGTCTGTAATCCCTCCATAACGGCCATTATGTAACAAGGGCTGCGATGGAAGATGGTACTTCCGGCACGAGGGCGGATGACTCTTCGTCGTCTTGCCCTCTCGAAACAGGTACTTGTTTTATCTCCAAGAGACGGGGACAAATGCGGAACGAACCGAGGGCCATCATTTGTCTCTCTTTCTCTCCGCGGTCGCGTATTTTACGGCGAGACGAATTGGCGACGTCGACGGGAAGGTTTCGTTCACTTAGAGAGTGAATCGTTTGCGACGAACGCGCATTTTATGAAGAAATGGGGTCGCGGTGACGGAAAGAGTGCACTCTTTGTCAAAACGAATCGTCCGCTCTGACAAACTGATGGTACATTCGACGCTCCTTTACGAACATCGATACTCGTTTAATATCGAAGCTTGAAGTGCGGATAGATGAAAATTGTATCGAGAGTGGAAGAAAATTTAGATTGTCGGACAAAAATTTCAATTGATTGGTATGCTTACAGAAATCGGTCGTATATCGTTTTCAATTTTCGTATGCTCGTAAATTCGGTGTATGCAAAAGTAATTGCGTTCATTCCATTTCTTACGCGCTTTAGAAAGTAATAAAACCGCGCCGACGGTTATCGACGATAAACCGTCACGAATTCCGTCGCTCGCGATTGCTCGGGAGCGGTGTTGGTTGCGTTTCCTCTGTAAACGCAATAAAAGCTGAAATAAAACTACTTCGACTGCTTTTAATAACCAGAGCAAGAAGAGGCAGTAATGGAAAAGCACGGCGCTAAAGTTATTCGAAGATTCAACATCGGGGATTGTTTCTTATTTTTACCTTCGCCTTCACTGCACATTTCAGAGAAAGGTATCGATCGCTTTTTCTTGCCAAATCACGTGCATTCATGAACCCTTCTCACGGAGGACAAAAAAGAGACACAAGAGACTTCTTGCGCATTAACTTGGTCGCGGAAAATACTAGGAAATCCTGACGACTGCCAAGCGAGAAAATCCGATAGCTTGGAAAGTGGAAAAGCCGCGGTTTTGCAACGGAGAAAATTCCCGATGTTTTTCATCCTGGGTGATGGAGCACCGCGTCACATTTCGCACCCTCGGGAAAAGAGGCTGTGACGTCACCGCTGTGACGTAGGGAAAGAAACATTGTTATCGAATAGAGTTGCTCGATCACGGTTTTCAATCTTAACTCTTAAAAATCATCAATGATGAATTTATTTAAAGTCCACTCTGCGATATAAACTTTATTTTTATCAAAATTAAATTGAATATCCAGTAAGGCAAAATGTTAACAACATTATCAGATTGATTTATCAATTTTGTAATGGAAAAAAATTTCAACATATTGACATTTGTTTGTAGTAAATATATATAATAAAAATAGGTGAAGAATCAGGCATTGTTGTTAAAAAATTTCTTTTGACCAGCTACATAAATTTTATTATAACTGTGCTCAGCGGAAATATTTCAATTTTCAATAAGAAATATCGTACATTTATTATTCGATGCTTTGTGCGTCGAATTCATAGTGACATTATTAACGATCATCAATTGGCGATATCTCGGCCTCGTACACCGAAATATATTTCTCGCATAATTTTTCCCCCGCGAAATGTCGCCGTCGGTCTCATTTTTCTGCAATAGCACGAGATCGTATCTTATCCCCTTTCATATTCGTGTCACTACAATATCCAAACGGCCCGTCGTCCAATTTCAAAGAGAAATCAGGGCGACTCGCGCGCTATATCGTACGCTAGAGTGGAGTTGGACGATAACGCGCGGATAGCTAGTAACAACAACTGGAGAGAGGACGACGGGGTGGGTTTGGAATTACGACTGTATATTAAACACGGGCGCCCGCGCGCATGTGGTATGAATAGATGGGAGAATACGGCCTACCGTAGCATTGTTTAACGTCGAAGCACGCGAAAGCCGAGGAGGAGACGCTGAAAGCAATATCTTGACTTTTTTCTTCTTATTGCGAGATATATGAATATTCGTCGTTCGTATGTGTTGACATAAAGAAGAAAAGAGTAAATTGTAATAAAGAATTGAAAGCAGGCGCCGCGGAAGTATTTTTCATCTGAGGGCAAAATTTATAAAGGGGATACTAATACATTCATAATATATGTATATG